TGGTGGTGGTGGTGGTGGTGGTGGTGGTGCAGAGCTGAGGCTTGGAAGCTACGGTGGGGCGGAAATCCAACACCTTCCGCCGCCGCCTCGCCGCGTTGGCTTTGGGCGCTTCGCCTCAACTCGGCCTCCCTCAGAGCCTCGGCGGCCAATTCCGACTTCCGAAAAGGCGATTTTGTTGGTTCTCCACTCGTCTGGGGAAATTCGACTGAGCGTTGTTGCTCCTCCATCCCAACTGTCACCATCCTCGCCGGCATCCTTTCGCTCGCTGATTCTTGTCTGCATTCCGGCTGAAGCTGCGTGACAGCAGCTCTGCTTGTAGTCGAGATGCCTTCGTCCAGGTCACATACCGATCACGCGGAGCCGGGCTCCTCACGCGACCGTCACACTTCTTCCACCCACAAACGGCGAGAGCGCTCGGGATCCAAGGAGCGACACACAGACAGCCATTCAAAGCGACACAGAGAAGACGACGACGATAGTCGAGGTCACAGCTCCCGCTCGCACGACCGCTCAGACAGACGACACAGGCCCGACCACGAGCGCAGCCACAGAGATCGAGACCGGGACCACGACCGATCGGGCCGTTCAAGGCATGAGCGCGATGCACATCGTCACGAACGCAGCTCAAAACGGCGCGAGACGTCCGAGGAGCGCCGCGTCCGCAAAGCTGCAAAGCGAGCCGACAAGCTCAAGCAGCTCCAAGACAGCTTTGCCGACGAAGAGACCTCGGCTGCCGAGCGCACAGCCGTAGCAGAGCTCATGATGTATTCGGCCGAGGACAATCCTTTCAACGACGCCAATCTGGGTCAAAAGTTCAAGTGGGGCAAGAAGGAGGACAAGGAGCGCAAGCAGGGCCTTACGCGAGAAGACGCCGAGAGACGCGATGCCGAGCGCCGCCGAGAGGCCATGGCCGAGATCGAGAAGCTCAACGCGAAACGTGCCGAGCGCGAAGCGCAGGCGGCTCTGCGTGAAGAAGAGGAGTCTCGCATGGCTCGTCTTGCCGAGTCCGCACAGATGGCCAGCTGGGTCGCCAAGGAGGACGACTTCTACCTCGAACAGGCGCACCGCCGCGCCGTCATCCGCGTCAAGGAGAACCGCGCCAAGCCGATCGATCTGCTGAGCATCAATCTCAAATGGGCCGACCCCAACATCGTCGCCGAGCACGAAAACAAGCAGGATGACGACGACGACGAGGCGGGTCTCGAGATCGACCTGGACGAGCCATACTCGATCTTCGAGGACCTCAGTCTCGAGGAGACACAAGAGCTTCATCAGGATATCCAGATGTACCTCTCGCTCGACAAGCAAGACTCCAACCTCGACTTCTGGCGATCCATGCTCATCGTGTGCGACGACAAGCTCGAAGAGCTCAACGAGGAGCAGGCTAGTGCCACTGCGCCGGGCGTCGATGTGGCATCCAATGCGCGCCAGGATCCCGAAGAGCGCGGGCGGATCAACACGATGCTCGCTTCCAAGACAACCGACGAGCTGCATCAGCTGCAGGAGCACGTGCGTGCCAAGCTGGCTTCCGGCGAGCCTGTCGATGTCGAGTACTGGGAGAGGGTGCTCAAGTCGATCGTGGTGTGGCGCGCCAAGGCGCGGCTTCGAGATATGCACGAAGCGGTGCTCTCGAATCGCCTCGAGTATCTGCGTCGCAAGCAGCGCGACGAAGCGGTACGACACGAGCAGGAGCTCGTGCATCAGACGGGCGCGGCCATGAACGACGAGGACGCAGAGGCGTTGGATCAGCCCGATGACGCTAGGGCCCAAGCCGAGGCGCAAGAGGCTGCGCTGGAAGCGCTCTTTGATGCGGACGAGATGGAGCCGCGACCGATCGATGAGTCGCGCCTGAGCTACGAAGACCGTCGTCTGGCGGTGCGCGACCTGCGTGCGGACCTGGAAGAGCTTGTGCAGGCTCGGCGACAGGTGACGCAGCAGCTCTTTATCCCCAAGGTGCGTGCTACCGAAGCGTCTCCCGACGCGCCTGGCACCGACGAGAATGCGGCGGAACGCATGTTCATGCAGGAAGCCAGCCGGGCGCTCGATGTGAGCGAGGAGGTGATGGACGGGCAGGCCGAAGTGGTTTCGCACCAGACGTACCAGTGGGAGGACAAGTATCGACCGCGCAAGCCGCGCTTCTTCAACCGCGTGCACACCGGTTTCGACTGGAACAAGTACAACCAGACGCACTACGACTCGGACAATCCGCCACCCAAGACGGTGCAGGGCTACAAGTTCAACATCTTCTATCCGGACCTCATCGACAAGACGGTGGCGCCTACTTACAAGATCACCAAGGAAGCCGGGCAGGACGATACCGTGCTGCTGCGATTCAGTGCGGGACCGCCGTACGAGGATATCGCGTTCCGCATCGTGAATCGCGAGTGGGAGTATAGCCACAAGCGAGGATTCCGGAACAGTTTTGATCGAGGCGTGCTGCAGCTGCACTTTAACTTTAAGCGGCTGCGGTATCGCAAGTAGGCGCGGAGCAATCAGAAGTACTTCCACAGCGAGATCTTGCCATCTCTTCCGCCGGCTGCGAGGACGAGTTGGTTGTCGCGTGCGGGTTGTGTGTGCTGAGACGAGTGTCTGTCGCTGGAGTCATCGTCGTCGTCATCGTCGTCATCGTCGTCAGTGTCGTCGTCTTGGTTGGGCATGGAGGCGAACTCGAGGCACTCGACCGTGTCTGAATGGTAGCTCAAGTTGCCGAGCTCGGTCAAGTCGGCCATCGAATAGGCTCGTATGCTATCGATTTGCGGAGATGTCAGTGATGTGCAGCCAGGATCAGTAATACAAAAGGATGGACTTACGATCCGTCCCACGCTCCGACTACGAAAGTGTTGGCGTCTGGAGCGATAGCCACGCTTGCTTTGCCCGGAGTCTTGGTTTGCAGGAGCTGCATTTCGCCGGTGAGGAGATCGAAGCGCGCGATGCGGTCATCTGCGCCCACCGACACGCCGAACTTCGTGCTGATCGCCGTGCTCATCACTGCTCCAAGGGCGACATGGTGTCAGTTGGGTCTGCGGTGACGAAGTCCTTGCGGGAGGAGGACGAGTGTACTGACCTGATTCGGAATGACACCGGGTCTGCCAGACGAGCTCTCCGTCCAGGGTCCACCTCTTTACCCACCCATCCTCGTACCCTGCAACCACACCGCCGGCGACAAGGTGTAGGGACATGACGATCGGCATCCTGCTTCCAGCCGTGCGCTTGATGTCTGGCCTGCCTATGGCCTCGACCAACCGCACACCCGATTGGAGCTCTATGACGTCGATGTATGCAGCGTCGAGTGCGTTGGGTACGGCGATTCTGGCGTCGTTGTATGCGCACCTTGAAAAGTTGAGTGCATTCACCCCTACACTCGTTACGAGTTGCGGCTTTTGCGCGCCATCGACCTGCGAAAGAGTCCCTAGGGCGGGCGAAGAATCCGGCAGCTTCCAGAGATGCACATTGTTGTCCCTGCTATGCGTCAAGACATGGTCGCCGAGCGAGATGACGGTGAGGACGGAGTCGGTGTGCGCGTTCCATCCCACTGTTGGTCGGAGGTGTTGGAGGTCGACAATCGAGACGGCACCTGTCTCGTCTCCGACGACGAGCGAGTGGCGGTCGTGATGTATGGATCGGATGGACGATGAGCCGTGATGTCGAAGGATCCAGTACGGCTTCATCATCGCAGCATATTGTTGCTGGAGATGGAGAAGAGCGCAAGACAAGATGCAGTTGGACAATTGGACCCTTGATCGGCCGCACAGACTTGGCTGTCTCGCCGCTGCCTCGCCGCTGCCTCGCCGCTGCCTCGGCCTGGATTCCAAAATTCCGAAAAAATGGCCGCGGCCTCCACCGGCTAACGACGGCAATCCAGTTTGGCAGCCGCTCGCCGGTCCACGGCCGTGATCCTCGGACACCATCTTCGTGCTCGTCTAGCTCGTCCCTCTGGGCGCACTTTGCCATGGCACAAGAACGAGCCACCACCTCATTACGTTCCACCATTACCTACCGCAGCCTGTCCTCACACACGATACATCTTCACCATACTCGACCATGGTTATGCGACCTGGACTGGTGGATTCGGCGCTGACCGAGCCCCAAGCTCGCGCCATCCTTCACACGATCCGCTTCCCCGGCTTCGAGGATGAGCAGGTGAGCCTTTCTCCCTCTCAAGCAGCCAACAAAGCTTCCTACTGACTCTGCTATCCCTCCGTAGTCGGCTTCAAGTGCATCTTTGCCGGCAGCGACACTGTCGACGCTCACGCGGCTGCAGATCCACTTTCTGCTGAGCTTTCCCTTCGAGGCGCTTGCCATGAACTACGAGCCGGGCGCTTCGATGGCCGCTACGCTCGAACACACCTACTCGCGCTTCATCGAGCAGCGTCATGGGGGAGGCTACTGCTTGCAGGTCAATCTGCTGTATCGTGAGCTGCTGGCGTTTTTGCGCTTCCGCTTCATCGGCGTGCTCGGACGCGTCTATTCGCCCATCAGCGGGACTTGGACAGGGCTTACACACACCGCCTCGCTCGTCTACCTGCCCTCCCATCTCGAGGAGGGTAAGTACGTGTACTACATGTCTGACGTTGGATTTGGCAGCAGCCCACACCGACCGATTCTGCTGCGCGATGGCTGGGAGGAGTTTGGGCGTGGCAGCGACAAGTTCCGCCTGGTCAAGCTGAAAATCCAGCCCAGATCGTACCTCGAACCAGCCGACGACGAGACCGACGATGAGGTGGCCGAGGTAGCACGCACCCAGGTCGTGTGGAAGCTGCAAAACCGCAAAGTCGGCAAGGACTGGGAAGACTGCTACTCGTTCTCAACCACGCAGTGCTTCACCCCCGACTACCTCGTAAGTTCGCTCGACCTCGTCTCTCTCGCTGGCCTCTTCCTGAAACTGACATTGCTCAGGAATGCAGGCCTCCAACTGTGCAACATCGAGCAAGACTGCTGTTCCGTTTGCAAGCATGATCCTGGTGGTGCGGTACCTGCTCGATCCCACACGGCTGGCCGAGTCGGCGCAGTGGATCGCGCGCGACGGCTTGGATCCGGACCTGTACGCCTACCATCCCGACTGCATCGAACAGCGCATGGTCGTGGGCGACAAACACATCGTCAAGCTCGGCGACCAACAGACTGTGTTTCGCACCATCGAATCCGAGCAGCAGCGCATCGAGCTGCTCAAGAGCGATTTCGGCTTGCTGCCTCACGTCGATACCACAGCAGCGCTGCACGAGATTCGCGGCAAACCTTCGGCTCTCAATCCGCTGCCGAACGGCGAGGCCCACTCATCGTAGAGCGGCTCGCCAAGCGTTTTATGGAATCGCAACTGGTCCTGGAAAAGCTCCTCACTGCCGTGTGCTTTCGCGTCGCGAACGCTTGGAAGAGAGCAGCCTGTGCTGAGATCATCCATGCGTGCGCCACTTGCGGCATCCCCCATCGAATGCAACAGCATCTCGCACCTGGCCTGGCTCCTCACCGACCTTCCTTCCGCGCCCAAAAGTCGTTGAGCCTCATGCTGAGCTGTTTCGAACCTGCACCGCCTCGGTCTGGCCGCACGTGGAATCACGATTTGATGGCTGCGTATTAGTACAAGAATTGGTGAGGATGTCGAGATGCCTTAGGCGGCGCGATCGTGTTGTTTCGGTTTCTACTTCCAACCGGCGCCACTTGCCCTTGTGCCGCCCCTGCTCATGACGGGAAGCAGACCCATGCTCCTCGCCCTCCTGACGGCCTTGCCCACCTGTCTCTGGCTCTTCCTTGTGAGTCCCGTGCTGGCACGCGGCATGATCTTGCCCATCTCGCTGACAAAGTTCGCCAGAATCGCTGCGTTCTTATACGAGTCGTCGTGCAGGCTCGGTTTTCCCGGCTTGAGCCCGTTGATGTGGATCATATCCTGCTGTTCCGCTTCCTTCCGCGTGGGGCCGAGGAGCGGACGGGCGAGTCGCGCCGGACGTTCGGTGATCGACGTGTACGAGAGCGTGGCGGGGTTGTAGTAGTGGCCGTTCATAAACGCACGGCCCGAAACGGTCTGACGGTCACGGACGGGCGTCGGGCTGCGTGGATTGTGCACCGCTCCCGAGGCAGACGGGGCGGCCGCAGCACGGTTGCGTGCCAGCTGTTCGATCGACGACGAGAGCTCGTCCAGCGCCGAACCCGAACCGCTGTTCGAGGCGGGGGCGGATGTTGCAAAGCGACGCAGAGGCTGCATCGCTCCAGAGCGGCTGCTAGATGCGCTGCATGCGCGCGAGATGAACGTAGTCGCCACCTTCATCGTCGGTGTGAGTGTGAAGGGAGATGGTGAGCGAGAGTCGAGATGACAAGTGCAGCTGGCACAACGCCCAAAAAAGGCTCTCGCGCCCACACAGACTCGCAAAGTACGAAGGCTCGGAAGAAATGCATCACGTGCAAAATTGTTCTCGTACGAAAAAAAAAGCGGGCTGCCACCAAAGCGCCCTCTGGCAACGAGGGTCCAACGTGTTTCCACCGCTCGACATCGTCAGTACAGGTTGGTGCAGGTGCCTCACCATCTGACTCGCATCCTTGGCGAAAGGCCCATCTCGCGCACATTCACACCGTCGCACTTTCGAATCGGGCAATGCTTTGACATCGGCATAGTATATACAGCACAGAGCTTGGAGGCCGAGCAGACAGATTAGCGAGGCGGAAGATGCGACCAGAATCCCAGAGAAAACAAAATCGGACAGAAAGCCGAGCGAGCGTGTGTGTGTGTGTGTGTGTTCGAAAGAGGGAGAGAGAAAGGGAGCGAGATGAAAGTGTGGGTCTTTGGGCCCTACTTGCCACTGCCGTCGATGGCGTTGAGTGCGCCGTTTGCGCGGAGGTGGACCATGTTCTGCAAGCTGTACTTGCCCTTGCGTCCGCGGTCCTCGAGCGTCTTTTGGCTGAGCACGAGGTTGAGCTGTTCCTTGGCCTCGGCGTCGCGGCCGGTGCCGGCGTAGAGGCGGCCGAGCTCGTAGTGGGCAAAGTAGACGAGCCAGTGGTCGAGCTTGAGCTGGTGTCCGTGTTCGAGCACCGTCTTGAAGCTGATCTCGGCCTGCTGCGCCGCCTCGCGCTCCGGGATGGGCGACTCCTTGGGACGCACCTTGGAGTGCTTTTCCGGGCACGCGATAAACTTGAGACACACGCCGCGCAGGAAGTGCGCCAGACACAGGTCGTCGTAGTACTCGTCACCCGAGTAGTACTGCGACGGATCCTCGACGTCGTGCAGATCGGCGAGCGCATCGCTCACCATCACCAGCGCCTCGTCGCAGAGAATGTAGCGCGGCGCGTTCGAGAGACAGTGGTAGACATAGGCAAACTCGAGCCCGGGCAACAACAACCTGCCGTACGTCGTGAACTTCTTGGACTTGCGCGCCACAAACTTCTCCATGGGGATCGACTTGCCCGCGATCTTCTGCGTGAGGTTGGGCACGTTCTTGAAGATGTCAGCCGCCTCCTTCATCGCGCGCTGGTCCTCGCCCTGCGCAGACTCGTACAGGTTGCTGGCCCGGCCGTAGTTGTACACCGCCTTGGACCAGTTGTTCTCGGCGGCGAGGATGGCAAACTGGTCGTGCGCCTCCTTCCACTTTGTGAGCGACATGTTGCACAGCGAGAGGTCCCAGATGCAGATGTGCTTGAGCTGCACGTACTCCTTCTGGATGTCGCGCGCCGTCTCAAACTGGGTGATGGCCTTCTCGGCCAACGCCTGGGTCGAGTAGAGACGGCCGGAGAAGTAGAGGAAGAAGACGCCCTCCGGGTAGCGGCGCAGGTTGTAGTGGAGCACCTTGTCGGCAAAGTCAATGTCGACGCCGTTGACGGGGATAAAGGTGGAGATGACGAGGTGGTAGGCGAGCATCGACATGTCGCAGATCTGCCTGCGCACGCCCTCCTCCTTGACGGGCATGCCCGGCTTGACCTGCTTGGGGTCGGCGCTCCACTGGCCCGCCTTGCTGAGCGTCTTCATGGCCCAGGCGGTATCGCCCGTGTAGCCAAAGACCTCCATGATCTTGAGCACCTTTCCGGGCACCAGACCGAGGATCATGCTGATGAGGCCGTTGCCGAGGTAGACGCCCGACTTGAAGTCCTCGTCGAGGTTCTGTCCCTTTTCGTCGGACCAGTCGACGTACTTTTGGAGGGAGCGGTAGATGCCGTAGGCGTTGCGCATGTTGAGCGCCTCGGAGACAAAGGCGAAGAAGTCGCCGGCGTAGGCGATGCCGAGGACGGCCTTGAGCAGCACGGCCTCGGCGTAGACGAGCTCGGCGTGCTGCTGCACCTCGTCCATCTGGGCGAGCGCGCTGGGCGACTGACCGGTGCCGCGGACGAAGCGGCCAAAGTTGGAGACGGCGCTGGAGGGCTTGCGGAGGAGGTTGGCGATGGTCAGCGCGTCCTTGCAGAGCGAGATGGCGATGGCGAGGTCGGCGGGCTCAAAGGTCATGAAGCCCTTGATGGTGGCGATGAGCGCGTAGCCGAGCGCATAGTAGAGGCGCGAGTCGGCGTACTCTTCGATGATGCGTTCGGCCTCGATCATGCGCGAGTTGAGGAAGAGGTTGAGCGCGTGGCGAGCCACCTCGATGTCGTCGCGCAGCTGCTGGGGCGTGATCTTGACGTCGTTGGCGGTGAGCTTGGCGACGCGCGCCGCCTTGTCGCGCACGGCCTGCGAGGTGTCGGAGCGTGCGCGCGTGTCGTTGACGGTGGTGGCGCCGTCGCCTTGCGGGCCTGCGCGACGAGCGGCACCGGCGGTGCCCTTGGGCCTGTACGAGGCGCCGTTGGCCATCTCGCCGTTGGGCGCCCTACGGGCGGAGGAGCCGGACTTGTTACGACGGTGACGTGCGGCGGCGCCGGCGCCACCGGCGAGGGCAGCGGCTGCGCCACCGGCCTCGGCGGCGTGGTGGCCGTGGTGCGAGTCTTCCTCCTCCTCGCCCTCGGAGATGTCGGCGAGGGGCGCGTCGTGGAAGTCGTCGTCGGAGCTGTCGTCGTCCGAGTTGGCGTCTTGTTGGTCCGAGTCGTCATCGTCGCTGTCGTCGCTCTGGCTTGCGACGGCAACGGGGGCGGCGCGTCGGCCGTTGGTAGCTCGGCCGTTGCGCTGGTTGGCGCGTTGCTGCACTTGCTCGTCCTCGCTCTCGTCGCTGGCCGAGTCGCTCTGGGCTGCGTCGTCCGAGTCGGCAGCAGCAGCAGCCATGCCGTTTTGCCGGGGTGCATCCTGCTCTGCGTCTGCGCTCTTGAGGCTGCGCGACGACTTTCTGCGAGCGAGGCCAAAGAGGGAGCCGGCTGCACCTGCTGCGCCGGCTGCGGCACCCGAGGCCTTGGCGGTGGTGGAGGAGAGGAAGCCCTTGCGTGCAGCTGTGTCGTCGGTGGCGGTGGTGCCGAGGGGAGGTTCAGAGGCGCCACGTGCGCGGGCGGGCGCAGCAGAAGCGCTGGATGCGCGCTTGGAGCGCGCACGCGCGATGACGCCGTCTGCCTTGGCGAAGGGGTCGGCGTCGGTGGCGG